TTCATTGCATTGTGTGTGTTTTTGAATCTTATACATTTTTAATATTCTTCCGAATGATTTATTTTTTTCTTTTAAGTATATCTTATTACATTATTTTATTAATATTATTGTTTAATTGCACTTTTTGAGTATGTTTAATTTGTTTCTTGCAAAGATAAAATTCATTCCTCATTTTACCTCTTACGACATCAATTAACTTATTAAATTATGTATTAATACATACACATTTAATTGCAAACGCTTAAACTAAGAAAAAGTGGGAGTGGTGACCAATTTCAATGCGTGTATTACATGCAATATTTATGTTTCATAATTAATTTTATTTTATTTTATGGGCGCGCACATACTTATATGTAGATTTAATGAAATGGTACTCTATATAAGTGATAATAAAACACATACATACATAGCTTTTCGCTGAATTCTACTGCAAAAGAACTTGCGTAGTAGAAAAGTAGAAAAATAATTTTAATTATAATTCAGTTACTTACTACATGCAATTCAAATGTATGTAGGTATGTATACGTGTATGTGTCTACTTATGAGTGTTCACATTTTAATTGGATGCTAGAGTTATTTATATGTATGTATGTATATATGTGTCATGAGCGAAATTGTTGTTTTCCCTTAACACAAATTTATATTTACATATGCATTGAAATACTATGTACGTACATTTATAAATGTATGTTTTTGCATGTATGATCCTATACATACCTCATATTTATGTTGGCATGTATATGGATGTAAATTAAAGGCACAATCGATTTCCATTTATGTACTTGCTAATTAATTAGTTGCCACACACTCACTATGGCTTTGAAAAAGGTTTTGCTGAGTTTTATGCGAAAACGGAATTAGTGGAGAGTGATTTCATAATAACGAGTACATACATACTTACTTAGCGCCGTTGCATAATTTTAGGGTGCGTAATTATTGCTTCGAAACGAGGATTTCAGCGAACAATTATAACTCGAGAACTGCTGTTATGCATTCGCTGACGTGCTTAAGGTTATACATACATATGTTTCAATGCACGGCCGTGGTTTAAATTAAGTTTAAACGCCCAATATGGCTATTTTAAACTAAGATTAGCCAATCAGATGTTAGTCAGCTGTTCAATTTAAACTCAAGTTTACTTAATCTAACTGGCACTGAAAAACTGGCCCTTAGTAGTTTAAAAGAATAAAATGGTTAAAGATGCTTTGAAGATAAGACTAGTAACGAAATTCTATTTCTAAACCTTTCAATATTTTTGGGCACACTGTTAGAGATTTTCGGCGACAAAAAAATATAGTAGTGATTTAAGGGCTACCACTTAGGTTTAGCTATGTAGATATAGCCTTTTGCTGGTGTTTTACATTATTAGAAAGCACGTTCGGTGGCCGGAAGGGAAATTTTTTTTTTTTTTTTTAAGTTTAGATTCAACATTATGGTGACTAACCGTGTTCGAGAAAGAAATATCTGTTAAGCAACTTTTCCTAAAATTTTGGGGAATGCACACTATCATTTGAAATGTCATTTAGGCTGCTGTGGCTCTCAAGGTCTCATATGTATATGCGAGTACATATCTTAGCATATTGTATCTAAATCTAATCTAAATAGTCTCAATTTATTCTTTGTGTGGTGATACGAAATAATGAAATCTTGCTACGATATTGTCTGTGCCTTCACGGAATTTTTCACTCTTTAATGCAGAATTAACGGTAATGAGTTCTTAATCTGGTTTATTTACAATTACAAATACATACACACATATGTATATTTCATTCAATCTAAAGATAAAAATAATAAATCATTATGTAACTGGTGACACCTTATAAGTATGCTTGGCGCAAGTAAGTTTAATTTTTTATATTTCTTTGCGAAAATTCGATTCATCTGCTCTTGAAAATTCTCAACTAATCCACATTCCAGTTTTCTGATTTTGTTTAATTACATGTATACGCTTTAAAACGTGTTTTAACGTAAATTTATTTTGACAAAAATTTTTAATTTTATACTACAATCTACGTGTATCTGCGTCTTCCTTTTTATTTATATCTAAATTTATAAATTTTTGTCTGTTGATGTAGGTGTGTTTATGTTATGTGTTTGAAGTGTTTATACTCGTAGTGCATGGGAGTGAATATAACCCACTACATTACACAGATATATTTAATAAAAAATATTAAATTTTTTATTTGCAATAAATTATGTTTACATTTAATTTAAATTCTTAACAAACTAAATATGGCTTTTGTTGTTTCATATTTTAGATTTCTGTGCTGTTTCAGTAGACCGTTGTTTTAACAGTTAATTATTTTTTCGCAAAGCTTTGTAAATATATTTTTAAAAGCAAAAAATTATATTGGACTTAAGATAATATTTATTTTCCTATAAAGTTTCAGCTTAATACCTTGCATATTTTGCTTTGCTTTTTTAAGGCTTTCCACGTATATATGTACACATATATGTAGTCTACTGTACTTGGACTTGTATAAAGAAAATACAATTTTCAACTTAATCAACGCATTTACCATAAGATATTCGCTTAAATATAATTTTTGTAGATAAGACCATAATGGTAATATGAAATAGAGATATTATTTTCCAGAAAAAATATATATATTTTTTTAATAATAGATATTTTTAATTTTTGAGATTCACATTAGACTCAATTAAAGATTGCATAACGTCACCTGAAATGCAAGAAGACGTAACAACATCGTAAATGAAATGGAAAAAGCCGTGACTTATATTTTAACTTTTTTTTCATAAAATGATGTGGAGTTGTAATTCGATGAAATCCATCTTATAAATCAAGAAGTGAATTTCGAATTATTTATTAGTTATAAGTTTTTGAATTTCAACGATGATGTTTGTTACGTCTTCTTGCATTTCAGGTGACGATATGTATTTGTTCGCAGTCAGTAATTGAAATTTTGAAAAGATATCCAAGCAATAATTTGTATGGCCTTTTTTGCATTATATGAAATTTTTTGTATTTACATATATATGCATATCTGTGGACTTACGGCAAAACCACTTATTGTCGGTTTTGTTTGGAGAAACCCTAGAACTATTATACACAAATTCCATGTATGTATGTATTTATTTGTTCATAAGGCAAGTACAACAATAGCTGTATATAATCAAACGCTTAGACTGTGGTTGAATACCAATCCGATTCCGATTTTACAGAGAACACAGCGAAGTGAGATTTGCCGAAACTCCACAGATTTATGTATGTATATGTATACAATTTGCCAGTTCTTCAATCCTACCGTGCGTGCTTTGAATACAATGTGGTAGTTCATTCTATAATATAAACCACATAAATAAAACTTTCACACTTTATATAAGTTCGCAAAAATTAAATAAAAGTTCATCAAAACTATCAACCGTTTATTCAGAATTTCCCAGTATGCAGTTTTTTGCCCATTCAATATTGGTAAAACAATTTTTTTGTCGCATTTGCTTCCATATAAGGAATATACACAATTTATTTTTATATGGACGAATTTTTAGCCGGTTTTAACTTGAAACTCTGAATAAAAAGTTTAAATTTTTGATGAACTTTTTTTTTAATTTTTGTGAACTTGATATAAAGTGTGAATCTTGGTTTGGTGCAATCATTTGTATATGAAAATAATTGTGAATATTATAATAGAACAAGGTGCACACTTTCATTGCCGCCTAGTTTATATATAAAAAGCATATTTATTATTATATTATATATTATTGTGCATATATGTATGTACATATCGATGGCGGAGTGGAAGATCGACCTATCTCGTCAGCCAGTTCAAAAACGCCCTATCTCAGAAAACTTTTCAAAAACGCCCTACTTCAGAATTGGATTGAGAAACGCCCTATTTCAGAATTTTATTAAAAAAAAAAAACACCCTATCACAGAATTTGGTTGAATAACGCCCTATCTCAGAATTCGGTTCAAAAACGCCCTATCTCAAACGAAAATACATTCAAAATAAGCTAAGATAGGGCGTCTTTTGAATCGGCAGCTGAGATAGGGCGTTCTTCAATCAAATTCAAATTGTGAGATAGGGCGTTTTCAATCAAATTCTAAAGTAGGGCGTTCTTGAAAAGTTTTGTGAGGTAGAGCTTTGTTGAAAAAATTTCTGAGATACGGCGTTTTCAAACTGGCTGCCGAGATAGGTCGATCTTCCACTCAGCCAAGTGTAACTATTTACTTTTCATTCGTTAGATTAATGGTGAAATTATTTCCCAATAGTTTCGCAGTATCCATGGTTCCCATCAAATAAGTATGAAGAAGTATGACTGTTATGGTGGTAGAAACGCAGACACAATGCAACAAGGTAGCTTAATTGTGATTGTTCAGTTGGCTGATTGTTTGCGGCTTCGTCCCCACGCTGGTTGCCGCATGTTTAACAAAATTCATCCCACAGGCATAAACGTTGAGGAGGTCGATGTGGATATGGAAGAAGAGGCATTAGAGAGCTTCCTGGCAACACTGCCACTCACAATGTTGTTATGTGGCAAGCAGATGTAGTCGAAAGTTGGGTAGCGCATAGGTGTATATACACAATTATAGTTGATAGCTAAACGGAGATGAAGTACTATGCACTATAGTAGTAATAGTATGCAGGTATATACTATATGCAAATTATAATTTTACAAAAGGAAGTAGTGAAAGTGCAGGATGTGGTGGTATGATGACGTTGATGTTGTTACAAATACTCGTATTGGATTAATATGCCAAAGCGTTTCTTAAAGAATTAGTTGTTTTACTTGTTATTGATATTGAGTGGTTTAAGGCAACGTCAGTTGTGGTAGCTGATACTTGGTAAGCTGTATGGTGATGGCGTTATTAGTGCCTGACTCTCAGTTGACGACCACTTTGCTGTCTGCTTATTGGGATGGTAGAATATGCAAGAGTCTTGCGTATTTGTCGTTGCTCCTCGGTCACTGTGCATAGCCATTTTCGCACGCACACACACGAACTTTGCCGCAACATTAGTTCCATTGTTTATACTAGGTTTTTTTTTTTAATTTATTATTTAGTTATATGGCATGATTGGTTCACTATCAATGGTTCAATAATTATATTAAAATGTTATAGCATTTCTTGATCATGATTATATGGCTTGCATGGGATAGCAAACATTTTTATGCTTTTAAATGTCGTCAGAAACGGTATACAACGCATTTCAATCTTTTCATTTGTTATTTAAATTATATATGGTAGTAGGTGTGAAGGTGTGCGGTAGCATCGGGTTAATCATTAAATTGCATTCAATCGCGTCTAAATGGGTTATTTTCGTCTACCATGGCACCGGATGGGTTAGCATGTAAATAAAAAAGTAGAAGAGAAAAACAAGAAGAATATTTAGTGGTTATGGTTAGTAAAAAATATTCAAAGAGTACATAAGTAGTACGTATGCATGTATATAGTTAAATTTTAATTCATTTTGATTTTTCTACATGAATTTATATTTAGTATTATTCTTGTTTGTATGAGTGTCGATGTGTTTGTGATGTGGACACACGCATAGGGGCATATTCAAAGTCAAAATAAAGTCGACTCTAAAGTTAGTGACAGCTTTTTGACATAAGTTTCAATAGAATATCTGTCAAAAAAGCTGGAACTAACTTTAGAGTCGACTTTGTTTCGACTGTAAATATGCCCTGTAGTGTTTTTTAGGTATTTTTTTTCTTTAAGTACTCAGAGCAAACAAAATGCATTCAAGGCGTTCACAAGTCTAATTCTCTAATTATTAGTACTACATATCAGTTAAATTTGAGATTTCTCTATGAGCTATTTTGACAAACAAACTCTTAAATCCAATCGTCAGGAATTAACTTAAAAGCGTACGACTCATTGTAGTTGTGTAGAATAGTAACTACAAAACGCGTGGAGCTCTGCGATCAAATGCAACAACACTCAGAAGAAAGTTAGCTAAATATATTTCTCTAACGCATAGTTACATATGTACATTTAAGTGATTCTTCGAATCTCAACTGGAACTAAATGAAACTTCTTAGCGAATAGATCCCGCAATCAACCCGGACAAGTCGCATTTTTGTAGGAAAAATATATATATTAACATGGCGGGAAGTAGATTACATTTGGAAACGGCTCAGGGACGAGACTCCTCCTTGCCTATTAATACCATGAATATGGCATCATATGATATAGGCAAATGCATATGCATATGTCCTTATGTGGGTTAGAAAATCTAGGGTAAGGAAAACGAATGCTCACTCATATCACTTTGCAGTCTAAATAGCCGGCCATACCGAATGGTGCTAAATTTATGTTTTCTCTCCCTTATTACAAGTAGAATAAAAGGTTATTGCCCTCACAATTTACTGATTGCATGGTTTTTTTGTGTGACTACCTAGGCAAAATCACAGCTAGTTGTGATAATGCAAATTTATTTGCATTTCACACCAGCCACTTTAATGCTATGGTAATTTAATAAAGCGCTTACCGTGGTGTATGGCGTTTCCAGCTTAAAATTACCTCATAAGCATAATAACGCTAACTAGCAACGGTGATTACGCAGAGGATACAGTTTCATATAAAATTGTTGGGTTGACCTATGTACATACATATGTATGTGTGCTTATTCGGGCCAAGTGCTAAAGTTTTATTATTTCTTATATACCAAGAATAATACGGCTGATTGTTATAAATTTTAAATTTACAACCAGCCATACATAGTATAATCGTTTGCAGTTTGTATGTGTTTTGTCTGATTTCAATGTTACCTTTTTTACAATAGTGTAGATATCTGTAACTGTTTATAGTTTAAATTTGTTTCGTTTTCTTAGGCATTAATTTTTATGTATAAACTCGAACGCACTTGAATGCACTTGGCAATGCTTTTATTTTTTTAAATAAGAGTATTGGTCATGTGTATTAATACTGTGTGGATTTTTCGTTGTTGATGTGTATTTATGTTTGTGTAAATGAACTGTAACTATTTAGTGCCTTATCGCCGCATAACAATTAGTTCACATTGCTTTGAAACTTATCACCACAGTATGTATGTATGTATCTGTGAAAAAATAATTTGCATTTGGTCAATTCGTTACGAAAAGACCCCAATTTTGTGCAGTGTTGACAGGCACATACATACATAAATGAATACAAATGTGAAATGATACAGAGATGAAAGGCCAGCACACACCTCTTTTGCATGAGCATGACAATTTAACATTAAGTAATTACAATTCGCAGTCTGTGAAAATGTTGTGATGAGTAATAAATACAAAATGAAAATTATATTAATAAATTCTAACATTCATATTTCTTCGATTAGTGTTTTTGGCTTTTAAATATGAATGCATGTATATGTATAGTTTTGGATTAATTAAGAAAGTAATTATATTTCCTTTTGCTTTTCGGTGCACAGCATGTGGAAAATTGGTTATTGAGACGTATGATTTTAAAAGTAAATAAATATTTCGTTTCTGGGTTTTTATTTGATTAATTTACTATAGCAGATATTTTACTCATTCCAGAGTAGATACAAAGAAAATTAATAGTAATTTACAAAACATGAAAGTTTAAATTGTTTTAGTTAACTTGGCCTTTGGTTAGTTAATTTATCTTTTTTTTTGGTTTAGCAATAATAATTACATATAATATTTATAGTATAGTATATAAGTAGTAATGAGATATTTTTATTTGTACTCGGTTTTGCTTTTTAGTTCTAATGAGCGCACATAGTTCCTTTTGTGCCAGCGCCCCTGCGTATGAGTAACATTTTTCTACATACATAGTTTGCCAGTCAAAATGGAACATCCAATGGTGTTTGATAGCAAAAAATAAATAAAATAATTCGATTTATTGTTTTAAAACAAGAGGTATTGGTTGACATGTAATCGAAAAAAGTGCCAGACATACATACATACAAAGTGCCGAAATTGAGGTGGGAAAAACATGACTGTTATGAAAAGTTTATACAAATGGAACTCTAGCAAAAAACCTGAAATGACTTATTCTTTTACTTAATCGCAACATAGTTTTATAAAAAAAAAAACAAAAACGTAGCATAATTTATATATGTAGAGAAGTATATATGTACATAATTAATTTTAGCACTATATTAGTAATTACAATTTCCAACAACTAATTTTATTCTTTTATCAACAGAGACTTCATTCGTTAGAAAAGGGAGTTAACGTTTGAAAAGATGTATGTGTACAGCATTTCTTAAGAAAAATCAGAACTGAAACGGTTCTATTTTAAGTGGAATTAGTAAAAGATTTTCATATGTATGTACATACGAGGTCAGTTTATTAAGTCAGTGACTTTTTGAAGGAAAAAGCGGTTTAATTTATCATAATAGTCTCCTTTTGACCCTATTTAATAGTACTTTTTCAAAGGTGCAATCAGCTGTGCTACCATTGCGGCTAAGTATCTAGGACGTCGCCATGAGAGAAAAATCTAGCATGTTCATGACTTGTACTGTTTTTCATCTCAACAACAAGAAATTGATTTTCTTATTTTGGTCCTGTACGGTTCCCGAACTCACCGATTTAGATTTTGTATTTATTTTTATTTTTTTTATTTTTCTCTTTGTGTTTTTTCTTTGTGAATTGAATATTAATCAACTATGCTTTTAAATATAAATTATTACTACGTTTATGCGACAGAATTCATGTATTCTCTATTTCATGAATTCAAAAATTGTCCGTTTATAATTGGCAACGCCCTAGCGAGAAACAAAGCGAGGTTGTGACTTTTTTGGCCTCCGTTTGAATTTGCAAAAGCCTTTGGTACCAGGCATAGAACCATATTATACTTAAATTGGTTTTAAATCGCTTTCAGTTTATTCTATCTGAATCTATTTTATATTTGACAAAATCCACGTAACTTTTCCAGTATTTTAAAACGAGATTATGCCACTCATGCTTTTTAATCTAAAAACATCATAACCCTAGTAAACAACTGTTTCACATCGCGATTTCATGAAATGATGCCGAATTCATGGTTAACTTATGTGTATAATTGAATTCATGAAATGGTGTTTATGCAGCCAATTTTTATTTACAATCAGATTTATTTTTTATTCCCAGGCTTCACTTAGATTACATACTCTTGATCTCAACATTCAATGTAAAGCGATTTGTCCCCTGACGTCCTATTAGAAGGTGACAAATTATCGCACTTCTAGCAAACACCAAATACCCTAAAATGTGAACGTGCTCCCTCAAAAGCTATTAAGGAATTTATATTGAGGCTAAATTCTGTCGCAAAGTACAAAAGGCTTGAATTTACGAGCCAATTATGGGATCAAATTTTGCAGAAATAGTTCAGTGGATACAGGATATAGCAAATAAATATAGCAATAGTTGGTGCTACTGTATGCTGCTTGTAGAAGACGAACAAGCTGTAGCGGAATTCTGTCCGGTAATTGTTTACCGGGCTTGCTCAGTTTTTCTATGTTGATTAAATTTTCGAAAATTAAATATGGTCAGTTGTTCCTTTTTTCGAAAATGCAGCAAATTTTATAGAACACTGAATGCAAGGGAATACAAATTTGCTCGACATCGATTTCAAAAAGTTTAGGAAAGCTAGAACATATCCGTATACATATGTATGATATTTTATAAAGTCTGCTTAAAAAACTATTTTATAAAAATGTTGGCCTCTCGACCTTGGCAGATGATTACATTGTCAACTTGATTACATTTTAAGACAATATTCTAATCTAATTGCAGAAAATCGTAAAAAAAATTAATTACAATTAAGAAAAAATCATCAGATTCCTGAGTGTAACTTCCTAACATCTTTTAGTTAAATGTAGCTTGTTTCGTGGCTGTGAATGTATTTTTCTTTTGCGTTAGACTGTATACTAGAGCCCTTGTTAGTTGACATAATCGGTTAGTCGAATAGCAAAAGTTTTACTTATGCTTATTGACCAAACCCAACCGCGCTAATAATATTGATTTTATGGTGAAAAGACTGTCGCTATTCGAATAATTTCGGTTAGTTGATTTTCAGACACGAATTCGAACAGTTGATCGAATAATTGCTTTTCGAAAAAAAGCTGCTAATCGACTAACTGCATAGTCAGATAGTCGATTTTCAACAAGAGCTCTACTGTATGTAGTTATACAACTTTTATTGCAAGAAAGTATACTAAAACAATTAAGTATGTATGTATGTATGTATGTATGTATGCATCCAATTTGTGTGTGATGCAAAGCCGATGAGTTGTTATGATTTGGTTGACTTGAGTTAAACTTTAATTGACTTTATGCCTTCGTGTGCAATTACGATGAATGAGTGCGTACGTTTTGTAGGTGCATACATATGAATGTATGTATGTGGTCTTAAAACCTTATAGAATTCAAGCAAACATAATTATTTATGTAATTACAGTAAATACATACATAAGCATGAAATCAAGAATATACGTAAGTATTAAGTTTATACCAGACATTACGCAGCACACTTTTAAGTCTATACATATGTCCATATGTATATTTACTAAAAAAAAATAAAATAAAATACTTCTGCATGTATGTATGTATTTACGCTATAGACACTAATTTTATAAGCCTTTCAACGCACTTAGTATTAGTCATCGCCAACATAAGGATTTTATACAGATACTACTATGATATAAACCGCAACCACATAGATTTGGCAGAGTAGCCAGGAATTCATTTAACTAAATATTTAAAGCAATATTTGAATGTGTGTGTTATTATTCGAACTTAACGCTAAACATTAGACATGAAATCTGTTGATTAAGTAATAATTTATATGTAGTATGTAAATCGGCTTATCATTGATGCTTTCATTCGACAGGTTAATGGGTGAGTATAGTGAAGAGAGAAAAAATCGGTGCGTTTTCAATACAAATCGGCGCTTGTGAAAGTGTGCGTGGGCGGTGCACCACACGCCCTATGCAACGAGCTCATCCTTCTACGAGAGAATCCAAATTTAAGTGATGTTAAAATAACCAGAGCATACCGCTTCCTTGGCGGGCAGCGCGTTTTTCACTCGGAGAAATGTATCGTGACGACGCAAAATAAGTATTACACTGAGAGAGGCTGTTAGAAGTGCTGGGAGTTTAGCCAACGGTTTAGTAAGTCTGTAAACTAAGTGGGCCTACTTGCTAATTAAATACAAACATAGATTTTGAAAACTGTTACAATGTTAATGTGAGAAGAGTTAATGCTAGGCTAATTCGGTGTTTAAAATCTAAGATTAAATATTAATGACAATTAGTTATTAGTGGTCAATGCTTGTAGTTGATTTTCGGTTTATTTTTGTTGTTATATACATAGATAATCACTCTCAGTATGTACGCTTTTTAGTAAAAGTTTAATGCAAATGTTTTATTAATGGTCATTCTATTCGAAATCTTTTTTTTTGTTTTGAGTAAAAAAACTTGTCTTTTTTGTTTTGCAATTCAACTAAATTATACATTTTTATTTGTTTGTTTTATGCATTTGAAAATTGTGTACAAAATTTGCGATTAAAATATATCATTTTTAAACGTATAAACATAATTTACATTTAACATGTTTTTCAGCTTTACACATTGTATTGAAAAACTAAAGAAAATAAACAAACAAGAAACTTAAGAACGTACACTAATAAATAAACGGTGTGTTCACGATAACTTTCGACTCGCAGCAAAATACATATAATATACGTAAATATAAAAGTTATACTTTTTACAAACGTTTGCATTTGTGCTTGAAAAGGCGTTGCTTCGAGGTTTTTTTTTGCAAAGAACATTGCATAGATTTTATATTTATGTTGTTTTTTTTTCCAGGTAATTTTAATTTCAATACTTTCATACGATTACAATTAAATATAAAATCACTTACAAGCTAGATTTTTTTGCACGTACAGCGTACTAGAATGCAAATTAAAAACCGTGTAAAAAATATATATGTATGTAGAATATGAAAACAAATTTTAGGTACAAACTAGAGAATTGGCCATGTCTATGCCTAATAACGGACCTTTACAAATATTGTTTTAAGAAAATAAGTTGTATGGCCCAATCAACGTCGATATACATATGCGCACGTTCATATATATCAATATGCATATTTCCCACCTAACATAGCTCTTACCGTACGTTCTAATCAATATGTAAGGCGAAAATATCTCGACACGTCACAAAGGCACAAGTCAACATACAAACAATTTAACCATTTTTATGTAGGTGTTGGTTGATTTTACCGACTAGGTGGTAAGATAATTTATTTTGGAACGAATAAATCATCTTAACCATTTTTGCTATCTTTCATTACATCTAATAATCTGCGTGAAAACTTGCTAAATTTTCGAAAACAAAAATTGACATATCAGTGTGGGCATGTAGATATTTAAGTATGTATGCACGTAAATCAAAAACACAACTCTGAAGAAATATGTATGGCAACACTTTTTTTTATAACTAAATAAAAATTGTATTGCATATGTATAAAAGCCTTGGGGCGCAGAAAGGGCAATGGGAGAGCTTTGCAAGCTATTATTCTTATTTGCTTAAAACGAAAAAAAAATCTAAAAGAAAATAGTAACGGGTTTGCAAAGTGAAAATCAAAAGAACTTCGGATAAAGTTTTAAACAAAAACTTTTAAATTTGGTGGATAAGGCGATTTAAAGACAACTAAGGGCTGTTTTCACTGTGTACTTATTTGCTTACAATTTGCTTGCTCGTAAAAATTAACAAACAAAATCAATTTCAACAAATCAAACATGATCACATAATGCTAATAATTCTTTTTCATACTTAAATGATTCTAACTCGATTGGTAGAAACAGAAACTGAGATATATGTATTAATGTATAACGGTTTATATATTTAAAGATTTGTGATAAATTTTCACCACAATAAATACGTATTCTAAGCGCTTTAAGTTTTATGGAGTAAGAGCTTTGGCTACAGAATTTTAAAACCTTCGGCAAATATTCTATGCAGATTGGTGGCAGTTTTACGGTTCTTCGCTGAAGGTATCCACATGTTATTGCAAAAGACTATGCAATATTTAAAGTGCATAATTGAAATTATTCGTACGCTTATATACGTCATTTCATTCTTATTTTTGTAAAACTCGGTCAGCTACAACACCACTTGCTATTCCGCAAAATACTTCAAATTGATAGCCTACCAACATAACGAATTACGAAAGTAGCCTACGAATTTCGAAATAACAATACGGCGACACGAATAACAGCATACCAATTTCCCGATCCGTAACAAAATGGAACGTACTACAGTTTACAGCATAGGCGTGTATATATTTTTTATTACTTATATTTTGTCTTAAATTTTGTAACAATGCCTCTTCCACCAAATATTGAAATGTTTGATGCTGTAATAGATTGGTTAATTAAATTTCCTCAAAAACTTTCCCATTGCCCTATAACAGCCACGCATTAAGAACAAAAATGTCGAGTGTATTGTTTGAGTAAAAAAGGAATGGGAGAAAAAACGTAGGACACAAACTAACCTGGTTGAGCTGTAAAACTGGGAGGATCATTCATTTTGAGTTAATCGCAATAATTCATTCATTTCACACAGCTTTTGCGCTTTTTTGCGGAAGTCAGAGGCGTTTTCTTTATTATTGTGGAGTGAGTGTGTTTTCTTTTTTATTCAGCCCAGCTATAGTTTTTATTGCGTGGGCTATACGCAGTCAATCTGGTCACAGCTTCGCGCAGGCAATTTCGTAAACTTGTTTTACATATTTTCTATGACTATTATCATATTTATATATATATATATATATATATATATATATATATTTTTTTTTTGAAATGCAACTATTATTTTTTTACTTTAAGTATAAAAGTTCGTTACTTATTAAAAAGTAAATTTCCATTTCTTAGGTATTTACTTGGCAACTTTTAACTTAAAAAACAAAATATCTATGTATAAAAAAACGAGATTACTTTAATTTCCTATACGAAAATTGAACAAAAGATATTAATGGAGCCATATCCACACATACATATGTACATACTATACATATTTAGTGAGTATGTAAGCATGTGTAGCATGAGCATGTGTTGATAAGCAATATTTAACTTTAACTTTAACCATAATTGTTATTGAAATTTCACTTTTTTACTTTAACTTTTTGATTTAACTTTATGCTTCTTCTTTTGTTTTATAATCATTCGAATCTGCTTTTGATTTATTGTATCTCAATGAAGCCTGGCTTAGCTGTGACACCGACCGCGGCAGCTGCCCTCTGATATGGATGATCTCTGTTAGCCAAACGTCTCTGCTGTTTAAGTGCGCCTACTAAAATACATTCGATATATACATAATAAGATTATTAAGTAAGAGCATAGAGTTTGTTTTTATTAATTAATAATATACTTCTTGTAATAGTGTTTATAGATATGCATACCTACATAATATGTACATGTACATATGTACATGTGTACTTCATACTCATATAAAAATAATTTCTCGTTATCAGAAAAGAGGTATACATACATACAATCGATTGTGCGCTACGTATTTAAAAATAAATTTTATGTATATCTAACAACAAAAAAAATTTGGGAAAAGCTCTACAGACTTTTCTATAAAAAAAAAGCTACGTTTCTAAATTAAGAAGCGATCAGCTGCGTTGCATCTAAGGCTTTTCAGTGTGATAAAAAAAAAATTCACTGGGCTAATTTCGTTTAGTAGAAGGTTCTAATTAATTTTTTTTTTATAAACAGCCAAAAAGGGTAATTATGAGTTTTAGTTTGACGGTAAGAAAAAAAAGAATTTTAAAATATATAACCATTTAAGATTTTTTATATACTTATGTATTCTTTGGAATGAATCGTATATGCACTATCTGTTTGATGTAAGTATTTATGTGTGTAAATATAAAAAGTTATTTGTTTTAAAAATATGCTATCTTGTGCTAATTTTTTCTCTGCGCCAAACTTCAACCAATAAGTGATTTCCAGTTAACCAAACTTAAAACTACCACTAAGTATGTCTCATAAAAAATACCTTAGCACTAATTGCAATCCTGTTTTTAGAAATACCTGATCTAAGTTTGAAAATTAAAAAAAAAAACACTAAAATTCAATCTCAAAGATACTAAAAAATTTATATTAAAAAAAGTGAACGGATAACCATAGATAATGCATTTACACGACTAAGAAGCTAATCATTTGTAAGTTCGAGTTTTCTGTTTGACAACAGCTGAAGGTACCAAAGTTGATACCAAATTGTGTATGTTCATAGTAGTCTATGTAGTTTCTCATTGACATCGCGTTGCCGCCACCATCGCCTTAAATATGTTTCAAAATATTTGTATATTTTATGTTGGTTACTGCAAAGGTTGCCTCGGTTGTAGTCAGCAATATGTTTTCACTTTCCTTTGCAACCAATTATAATTGTTTATGTGCCGCATTTTATTTTTACATCTATGGCGTTACTCCTATTGTTTTGTGTAGTAATTAACTTTGACTAGGAAACTTAATTATTTGGACGGATATCGGTGAGCTGCTTGCGTTTTATACAATTCATTACAGAACAATACAGATATTTTATGTGTATGTGTAAGCAATATTAAAATTGAGAATATATGTATGTATGTCTATGTATATAAATGTCTACACATGCATATATTGAATATAGTAAGTAATAAATAGGGCGCTATCCAGTTTTTATCAAAACTATTCAATTCTTTAGTTATAAGAAAAAACAACAATACTCTGAACGCCAAAGCTTCCTTCTTATAATACATAGACTAAACTTGTGAAAGCTCGTAGACTTTAAGGTGAAAGCTTCTAAATAACAAAAAAAAATCTCCATTTTTCGAAAGCTTTAGGCTATAATGAGTAACTATAGTATAAATACGTTTTTATGTAGCACCATTGTGATTCGACGCCATTTTAAGTGTAAAACTAGAAAAATACTAAATTACTAGTTTTTAAATGTAAAACCCCTTAACTATAAGAAGTATAATATGTAAACTATAAATATTAAATTTGCATACAAATATGTGCGTATGTATGCAAAACTGAGATTCTACCTCCGCCTTCTCTTTATGTGTTAAAACAATGGCACTATTTGGAAAAATGTGACGGGGAGAAAGTATGCTCACGAAAATAAAGTAGAGCTACAAGAAAGGAATAAAAGAAAAAGTGTAAAGAATAAGAAATTACTTAACTGGAATTTCCACTAAGTATTTGATAAAAGTCTACATATATTTATTATGTATAAATGTAAACTATTACGTTAAAAGATTAACGGAAGAAAATCAACAAAATCATAAATAAATAAAAAAAAATATAAAAATATATATATAAAAAAAAATACAAAATAAAAATTAAAAAAGTAGTCTAAAAAGAAATTATAATAAAAAATTACAATAACACAAGAAAATATAAAAAGTCAAAGTAAAAAAATATAAAAAAGTTAAAATCAAAAATATATAACAAAGGGAATAGAAAAAATGTAACAAAGTAAAAACAAAAAATACAAAATGTGAAAATAAAAAAATATAAAAAATAGGAAGTAAAAAAAATAAAATTAATAGTAAAAAATAAAACAGAAAAACATAACAAAGTAAAAAATATAACACATAAAAATACCTCAAACAGCGAAAACATATTACGGATATTAACACTTATTTCGTAACTTCAGCTCTTATAGATTTGCGTATTCATACGTATCATGTATCACGTATAATCACTGAACTCGGTTGTGGATTTTGGTTAAAAATTACTTGTTTGCCAATGTGTTTGCGCTGTACGGGGGTGCACACCCACGACTTGGTCAGTTTATGCAAAAGGTTGGAAAAAGCTTTCACATCTCTCCCACGGGTTTCAGACTAAGCAGTCTATCCTTGTTTTTGCTTAAAACTCTAAAGGGGCTGGTTGATTTTCATGTTACAAACGGGACCCTTCGTGATCACCTGTCAGGAGCTCAAGATGCATATATATGTATGTATGTTCAGCAATATATGTCGGTAGAGGGGGCCTTTAATAATGCACTAAATGAGACAATAGTCGGATCTCTGAATAAAGTTGGGGTCGAAAAAGACCTTGGCAGGCTCATATACCGCATGATTAGCGACAGATTCGTCGCGGCCGTGGTGTTCTCTCACCTCCTCTGGGCTCACTTTTAGAGAATCGACGGAGGCGGAGGTCATAGTAATATCCACAGAAAAGAGAGAAAGGGCTTCTCTTGAAAGTAAATGGCTCTCAATTCTGAAGGATATGCTGAAAGGTTACTATGCGACTGGGATTCACGCAGTGAGACTAAACAGCACACCGGGCCTTCTCTGTCACAGCTGCATGGAGGACGTCGAGGTGGAATTATCTCAACACTTCCTCTTATGCTGCCCGGCCTTTGCTAGACTGATATTTAACCCTAGAACACACACCCAGAAAATACCACGTAAACACACACCCGGGATACGTTTGTACCCGGGACCTTATTTTGCGGTTTTTTTAATGCTTATTCAACCGATTTCTATGATTTTTTTTTTTTGAAATGTATATTTTAATATATAACAAGTATTTTGTCTTTTGTTTCATTCGAATATTCCTACTGGTTCCAGCGATATGGGCAAATAAAGTCAGGACATGCAACAGTGGATTTTTGTTTTTGTTGTTGTCCTGATAAATGCAAAACAAAATAATATAATTTATAATAATATACTTGTAGAGTAACAACGAATACACATTTTGGTTTTTATTTCATTGAAATATTCTACCTGGTTCAAAAGATATGTGCAAAAAGGTCGCGCAAGGTATGGGTACGTAGGTAGCAAATACACTGGTATAACTGGTTTTTGTATTTTATATGCAGCTGCAAGGGTTGTTTTCACACGAGGTGTTGTTATAAATGCTGCCTGTTGATATTTTCATTATTGTTTTGGTGCTCAAAAGTGTAAGAAGTGAAAATA